CGTGATCTCGGCTCACCGCAACCTCCGCCTCCTGGGTTCAGGCAATTCTCCTGCCTCAGCCTCCTGAGTAGCTGGGATTACAGGCACGCACCACCATGCCCAGCTAATTTTTTGTATTTTAAGTAGAGACGGGGTTTCACCATGTTGACCAGGATGGTCTTGATCTCTTGACCTTGTGATCCACCCACCTCGGCCTCCCAAAGTGCTGGGATTACAAGCTTGAGCCACCGCGCCCGGCCTAAGCTTCAATTTTCTTATCTGTAAAATGGGGTTAATAACAGTACCTACCTCATAGGGTTCTTGTGAAGACTTCAGAGTTAATCAGTAGTGTTTAGAACTGCACCTGGCACACAGTGAGTGCTCCAGCATTATGAGCTCTGCCTCCCCACCCAGCCTGCTTCCTTCTGCCCTCAAGTCATCCACTGATGACCCCTGAGTAAAGTTGAAGGAGCGAGGCTGCTGAGTCTTAGCTATGACTCTGAGTTCCATGACTGTATGAAAGAAGGTTCTCAGCAGCAAGGGAGAGAACACTTTGCTTTCAGACACTGGCACAGCATTGAGAGAGACTGAAGTCAGAGCAGGGATCTGTGTGTGGCTCCACTTTGAATTTATTTTTAGGCCTGGTAATGCTTTTGTGTTTTTATAACTTCCACATGCTCTGTGCCATCTCTCATAAGGGGATGAGTATCTGAAGAAGTTAATACAGGAGGCTGAGTCTGTTTTTCTTTTCTTTCCCTACAACCTGCAGTGGTGGTTTTGAAGTTTCCTAAGTAACAAGTTGGGGGCCCCTCTGATGAAGGACGAGAACTGTTTGCCTTTTGCTACAAAAACTGGAGGCCTCAGGAAGAAGGGGTTCTTGCCCATGAGCCAGCTGGAGGGTACCTTTCTGCTCTGATTGGATACATCCTCCTACTGCAATGTTTTCCTAACAGTGAAGAAATGGTTCAGATAACATTTGCTACCCAATGCCCTAGAAGGGGAAATGACAAGCAAGTTCAAGAATGTTTTGTACCCTGCTACCCCGCCCCCTACCCCGCAATACTATAAGGAAAATTCAGCTACACTTGCTTAAAGTGTAAGCTGGTTGTCTGTTGTGCTTGTGCTGCCCTCTGCTGTCACCTCAGGGTAGAGGACCCAGTTAAAACAGCCAGTTCGAGTGAATTTAGGATTTACTTTTCTGAAAGACTTTGGAGAGTTGGGCAGAGGCCCAGGTTAGGAAAGGAAGAACTTCTACCCCCAACCCACTGCCCAGGCAGGGCCTGTCCTCAGTCCCTGCCTAGCTTCTGGGGAAACTATTCAACAGCCCTGAAAGGATGCCTGGAAACATTGTAGGATTCGGCAAACTCACCCACCTCAGTCCTGTCCCTGGAACTGTGGGAAACCATTTCTTCCTTTTATTAGGCCCCAGTTTCAGCTAACTAGAGGAGCCTTTCCCTTGACTTCAACCATGCCCTAACTCAAGTTCACTCGCATATGTCCCTTTGCTCCCGGCGCTGGGTCAATTCCTGATTGCTCAGTAGGTAGTCATCAATGAATGTGAAGATTTCCTCAGGGGTGACAGGTTCCATGTAGCGGTCTCGGTCAATACCCTGCTTGTCAATCAACACCATGTTGAAGTAGGAGCGAGTGAGGCGCTGAAATTGCCTAGAGAGAGCAGCCCAGGGAGGTATGAGACCTTGTCTGGGCACCCATCCCCCCAGGCTCTACTACCCTCTGACTTTTTGCAGCTCCACTCATGGACTAATTCCTTGCCCACCTCATCCCTGGTCCCCATCCCCTCCACTTCCTATCTCAAGTCCCTTTGTTTTTCTACTCTTGCTGCCCCTATACATCTAGTACTGCTAAGCTGTCCCTTCCTCATCTCAGCTGCGACAGCTTTGTTATTAAAAGGCAGTGCTTTCATCGTAGGCCCCTTTAAGCAGAGCCATTACATATTGCTGTTCAGGCTGTACAGGGTGACTCCAGGGGCCACCCACTGCAGAGACTATGCTGTGTATGCACATCATACATGGAAGCCCTTAGGTTGATAAATACCATCTGGTTAACTCTTCCATTTGTAGCTGCAAGTCTGCAGTCTCCTTCCTCTGAGTATTTTCTAGTCTCTTCCCTAACTGGGACTGAATCTTTCTGTCCCCACTGAGACTGCACTCTAGAGGCAGGTGTTGTTTCTAGAACAGAGAGCAGTGATGGCTTTCTTGGCCATGAGTATATGTGAAGGCATTAGAATGGTGATACTGGATAGATAATGAAAAGACCAGTTTCTTCCACCACCTGTCACCTCTAATGTTCTCTTCCCCAGGAGTTGATAGATATTATTCAGATTTCAGTGCCTAAAGATGCCTTTTACAGCTGGGCACAATGGCTCACACCTGTAATTGCAGCACTTTGGGAGGCCAAGGCGGGCAGATCACCTGAGATCAGGAGTTTCAGACCAGCCTGATCAATATGACGAAACATGTCTCCACTAAAAATACAAAAATTACCCAGGCATGGTGGCACACACCTATAATTCCAGCTACTTGGGAGGCTGAGGCAGGAGAATTGCCTTGAACTCGGGAGGTGGAGGTTGCAGTGAGCCAAGATTGTGCTATTGCACTCCAGCCTGGGTGACAAGAGCGAAAATCCATCTCAAAAAAAAAAAAAAAAAAGGATGACTTTTGCTCCTTTGGAGACTGAAGGCAAAGAGATGAGGCCAGAAAACAAGAGCAGGGGCTTATCCGAGTCAAGTTTGGGTTTAACTGTCTCAGCCCTGGCTGTGTGCTTCAGAGCCCCCTCAGGTGTCTTTATAAAAGCATATTTTTAAGGTGGTTTAGGGTGGGGTCTGGTCATCTGTATTTTAAGCCCTTATTTGATTCTGATGTTCTGCCAAAGTAAAGAAATACTCTCTGGTCTTACCTAATACATCCATAAGAGTTCAAATGCAAGAAGTGCCCCAAGAGAGTAGTATCCGATGGTTCCCCCACAGCCCGCTTTTGCCAGTGTCCTGCTTAGGGTTTCTGCCCCACCCCTGTTCAGTAGCCTCCCAGCCTGGACCTGAGCTCCTCGATGATGTTGGCTGACAGCTGTTGCTCCCGGATGCGCCCCACCTCCTGTGGTGGCTGTCCCACTAGCTCAATGATGGTCACATGCCGCAAATCCAGTCCACAGGTGGATTGCTGGGAGGGAGACAGAACATTTTACACAACAGGCCTGTGCGTTCAAATGTAAGGCTACCTGGCTGATTCCTCCTGGGACCACATGAAGCAGTGTGGGAAAGGAGCCCCTTCTCCTCAATGATCACATGATCACACTATAGGGTCTACAACAACCTGTTCCCTCTGTCATTCCCAAAGTACTCGCCCCAACAGTGTTTCCTTCATTCTACTGAAACCACTTACACAATGTGGGGTAGAAAAGAGAAATTCAGTGACTAAATTGCAGGAGCATAATTATTGCTTAGCTATGCATAGGTTTTAAATTACACAGATTCTTAATGGACGGCCAATGTGATATGATAATGGCTGTTGTTTATTGAATACACAAACCTAATGCTTTGTAGACATAATCTAATGCTCACAACATCCCTCAAAAGCTAGGTGGTGACAATAACATGCTGAGCCAAGATTCAAACTGAGGGCTGATGCCCTCTGCCCGGGCGTGTGCTCTTTACCACTAGGCTACTTGGTCAGGGCCTTCGCTCGGTCTCCAGGATTTCTCCGAAATTGTGCCCAGTGCTCTCTTCATTACCCTCGTTACCTTCCTTGCACTGGGCAGCACAGCTTGCATTCCTACCCCGGATCTCTGTCCTGCCTTGTCTTGCAGGATCACCTACTAGCCAGTTACCAGAGTGAGGTTTAAAAAGGCCTTGAATACTCCCCGGCACCCCACCTCTGTTTCCTCCTTAGGCTTCCCCTCTAGTCCTCACCCTCAGAGTCACTATGCTTGCTGGCAGGTTCCTGTTCCTGTTCTTACTCCTTTGCTTCCTGTTGAACTGTTGCCTTTGCCTGCTTTTTGGGATCTCTGGACGAATAAAGTCCTTTTTAGTCTAGACCCTCAATGGTTCTTTTTTTTTTTTTTTTGAGACAGTCTCGCTCTGTCACCCAGGCTGGAGTGCAGTGGCGCAATCTCGGCTCACTGAAACCTCTGCCTCCCAGGTTCAAGCAATTCCTTGCCTCAGCCTCCAGAGTAGCTGGGAGTACAGGCACCGGCACCACGCCTGGCTAATTTTTGTATTTTTAGTAGAGACAAGGTTTCACCATCTTGGCCAGGCTCGTCAACTCCTGACCTCGTGATCCACCCGCCTCGGCCTCCTAAGGTGCTGGGAGTACAGACATGAGCCTTTTATTTTTTTGTAAAACTGCTTCCATCCTGGGCCTGAGTATTCACTTGGCAAGTTCTAAGATTCAACCTTTAGAAACCTCCTACGTAGCTTTTTCTCCCACATGGGTATCCAGCCCCGTGCAGCTCCCCAGAGCTGCTTCTCTTAGTCTTGTCAGCACACCCTGAATTATCTTCAGTAACCTAGCCTGTTCTTTTCTAAATGCCCATAGTCATAACTATTCTGTCCTATCGTCCTCTCCCTCCCCCACCAGTGGCTTTGGCTAGGTATCTCTTATGTTAAAAACTGCCATGCAACTCTCTTATGTTACTCTGGGATATCACAACACTTTTCCTTTTTTTCTGGTACTGGTAGTGGCTAAGAGCACAGATTCTGCAGCCAGACTCCCTGTGTTCAATCCCAGCTCCACCACTTACTAGCTAGTGACCTTGGGCAAGTGACTTAATCTCTATGCATCAGTTTCCTCGCCTATTCAGTGGGGATAATGATAGTACCTACCTTCAAAGGGTTGTTGTGAGAATTAGATGAATATGTGTAAAGCCCATAGATCAGTACTGAATACCTACATAGCACTTACTGCATAAGTATTTGTTAGTACTATTATTCCTTGAAAACATAAACGTAGTTAATTCCCAACATTTACATTTGATCATAGCTGTCTTGTAAGTCTCTTCAGAGTGCTTTGCCACACTCCCTTCCCATCTTTCACCCAGCTCCCTGCAAGTCACAGCCACCACTCCAGTGACTTTATTGCCTTTTCAGTAAAAACCAAGCAATTTTTAAAATGTGCTAAATATCTCTATGGTAAAACTGATCAAATTCTATCCACAAAAAGTTTCAGGAAGTAGGTAGGGTTTGTGCTGCAAAGAGCAACTCTGATTTGGAAAAGGTAAGCGGTAATTTATAGGAGCTAAGCCGTCATTAGGGGAGTGGGCCTTACCTGTAGCATAGAGATCTGCATTTTATAATACCGGTTGGAGGGATCAGGAGCTGAAATGATGAGGAGTCGCTGTTTCTCATAGAATTGATCCAGAAGACCAGCAGCTGAGTTGACGTTGACATTAATCTTCATAGCTAGAGCAAGCAGGTGACCAGTCAGAGTATAGCTTTCTCCTCCATCCCACCTTAGGTAACCTCACATCTTGAGGTGTTCCTGTCTTTCAGGTTACCCGTCTCTGGATATTTCTCCCATCCCTTGGGGGAAATCCTGAAAGAGCACTTGGAGATTTTAAACTCTTCTTCTTGGGGTAGGAGTATTCTAAGGGATAATGTTGGCCTTTAAATTAGACACATCCCAGAGCCCCCCATTCCCACATCATATACATTGTTATTAGACCCCTGTGCCATGAGGAAGATCCTCCCAAGTTCCCCTGATCACCATATCCATGTGCCCCATTCCCTGGTTTTACTCACGAGCACAGATTGGTGGTGAACCTGACCACTGGCGGCTGGACTGACAGACCCGGGAGGGGGTCCCCTGGCGCTCATAACTGCCATCACAGTGGTATTCACAGGTGGCACCATAGTTGTTCCCCGCTGAGGTGCAGGTGAGGTAGCCATGCTGTGGAGGTTTCAGAGTTGGGCAGCGTCTCACTGTCAGGGAGGAGCTCAAGTTAGAAGTTACGGTGTTTCTCATAAGAAGGAAAGGCTAAGAGGGTGCCCATGCTGGGCTTTCTAGAATGGAAGACTTAGGATGATCAGAAAAATGGCTTTTCTATATTTCCAATGGATGGGGATGGAGCTAGAATTTTCCTTTCTTAAGGAATTAAATCTGAAATGCAGACAAAGGTTTGTAAAGTTTGGAAACATAGGTTAATATACATGTTGTCATCAAAAGACTGTCAATCTTTAAAAGAAAATATTGCCATCTGTTTCCAGACTTTATGGACATGCTATGTAAAGATGACTACCCTGCAGAATTCCTCATAATAGCAGAAACAATTTGGAGGAATCTTAAATGTTCATTGGTAGGAGAAGGGTTAATCAAATTATGGTATATTCTTAGAGTAGAATATTATGCTATCATTACAAATATTTCTGAAGAACTTTAAAATAACACGAGAAAATTACTTTGTTAATGAAAAGTGAAAAAGGATGATTTATGATTGGATATACAGTATAATCTCAAGTATATATGTTTTAAAGTATGTATAGTAAAAAGATTGGAAGGAAAATACCAAAAAGTTAATAGCAGGTGTCTCTGGATGATGGGGTAACAGATTTTTCCCCTTTATATATTTCCTTATTTATCAAATGTTCAACAATAAGCATGTATTATCTTTATAATGAAAAAAGCAAAACAAAACAATACAACACAAAGCAAAGAGGAAGAATATGCCAACACCACCAATTTTAGCAGAGGTGAATGACAGAATGAAGGCTGATTACCTGTGATCATTTTGAAGTCTAAGAAAAGAAATGGATAAAGAATATCCTTGTGAATTTTATCTGGATTTAGGAGAATGAGAGTCTTGTTGATGAGAGTCTTGTTGAGGAGTCAAGGTTTCAGAAACGTGTATGCACACGTAATGGTGGCTTCCTAAATAAGCCTGTTTGGTGAACTTGTTTTTCTCTTCTCCCAGTATAAATGAGGTGTGTCTCTTCCAGACATAGAGAGGAGAGCCATGGGGTGGGTCAGAGTAGAGCAGGATTAATGAACAACATGGAAACTAAAGAATTCTTTCTGACCTTGTACTTTCACAATGAACTTGCAGCTGGCCCGGTTGTAGGCTCGATCATAGGCAGTGTAACGAATTACATGCTCTCCTTCGGGAAAGTGAGAACCAGGCTCAGGGCCCCGAAGCTTCACCCTGCATGGGACAGGATGAAAGAAACACTGAGCAAAGAGACCCTTAGAATTGATGTCTGAGGCACATCCTCACTGTCACCTTAGCCTGTGCAGTTTCACTGTGACCAGCCTGAATGGCTGAGAGAAGCCGAGGGAAGGCATAAGGAGCATCCATTATTCAGACTTACCTGGTGATGGTACCATCAGCAGAGTCTTTCACCAATGGTGGGTCCCAGTATACTCGAGCAGTCAGTTTCTCTGGCTCTGCCATCTTCTCACGTGAGTGGGGACAGCGGATCTTGGGGGGATCTATGTCTGCCAAGGTGAAAATCAAGTACTGACTTGTGGGCCCCCTGCATTCCCTGGAGGGGATCCATTGAAGCAATAACACACACCACTGGGTAGGTAAAAAGTTCAAGGTGCTCAAGGAAACTGGGGAAGGAAGCCCAACTGCAGGGGAAAAGATCATTTTGTTTAGCAAATACCGAGGGTGCCACACTCATAGCTATGGGGAGTGCCTTCTGTGGTGAGAATTCGACATCTTTTGTCGATATAATGCTAGAGTGGCTCTTTGCAGCAGGACAACTAGGAACAACCAGCATTTACCTACACATACAGGCTCGCCTCCACTCCATCTCCCATCTTCCATGCAGATTCGGCTGCGGTCACCTTCCAGGTGGTAGCCACTGGAACAGCTGTAGTCACAGCGAGAGTCAAGAAGCACCCCATTTGTGCAGGTGTAAGTGCCACTCGTGATGAATGGCAGTGCGTGGCATCTCATCTCTAAGAGAAAACCAAGTGTCAAGCTCAGTGGCTTGTGCACCTATCTGGAGGTGATGCCTGGGCATCTAGCACAGGGAGAACCATATCAGAGATAGCAGAAAATACAGAAACTCTACCTGAACTGCCCTTACATTTTTGTGCCTAACTGCCTTTTTCCCTAATTGTCTTTGTATTTTCATAAAGTAAGCAGCACCCTTGGGCAGGGGGGTGTCAAAAAAACAAATTACTTGTCCAAGCACATGGACTTCAACATCAGACCTAACATTGTACGTTGTCAAAATCCATACAACAAGAGTGGGCCCTAAGGTAAACTATGGAACTCAGGTGGTGATGATGTATTAATGGATGTTCATCAACTGTAAAAAAATGTACCACTCTGGTGGGAGATATTGACAACAGGGGAGGCTGTACATGTGTAGGTGCAGGGGATAAATGGGAAATATCTATATCTTTCGTTCAGTTTTGCCGTGAACTTAAAACTTCTCTAAACAAATAGGATCTATTTTAAAAGCAGAAGTAAAACAACTTATCAAGAGGAAAAAAAAAAAAAAATGGGATCTGAATTTTCATCCCAGTTCTACCTCTTACTAGCTCTGTAACTTTAAGAAGTTACCTCATTTCTTTGAATTTCGTGTTTTCTTCAGTAAAATGTGGATACCTCATAGGATCATTGTATAAATTAAAAGAGACAATGCATATAACCCTGGGCTCATTTAGGGCCTCGGCAACTGTTAGTTTTTGTCTCTTATTCCTCAAATGCTAGATGCCCTTGAGCACGTTCAAAGCTTCTTTTCTTCTCCAGGCATACTCATATAATTTTGGGGCTCTCATAGGCACTGCTCAGCTAAGGCTCAACTTACATGCCAGCTTGGGCTGGCTCTCTGGGCAAGAATACAAGTCAGACCAGTGCCTGGAGGGCCAGGTGTGGTGGTATTTGGTAAAAAGAGGAATCCATGTGTGTTGGACACCACATGTAGCAGAGGTAGAGCCTGTCACCTTGGATTAATTCTGAGCCTATGCTTGCCAAAGTCTGTGGGAGATACCTGATACTTAAGAGAAAGAGGCCATATATTCCTTTAGGTTATCTAAATTCGGATCCTGCCTAAGTTCATTTGTTGAAGCTTTGAATAAAGATCTGTATAAGGTA